TCTGACCCTTCTGCCTCCCTTTGTTAAGGACTCTGCGGTTATACTGGACCCACTTTGATAATCCAAGAAAATCTATCTCAAAGTCCTTAATTTCATCAAAAGTCCCTTTTGCCATATATGGTAACATATTCATAAATTCCAGGGATTAGGGCCTGGATGTCTTTGGGATGGGGTATCATTGTTCTGCTTCCTGCACACATGCAGGGCTATCCCTGCGTGAATTTCCTCCTAGGTTCCCTGGTGGTAGTTTTCTGGCTCATACTTGAATATTTATAATGACCGAGGACACATCATCACATCATCTCTTGGAAGGACTTCTTTCATTTTGGACCAATCTTCCTCTACTTCCTATCCAGTGGTTTGAGTTTTTCTGCTTGGAACATTAACATTAACATTTTTAAATTCAATCAACTCTCTTATCTCCCTTCTCATGCTGGGTTCTGAGTCTTTTCTCCATTCTGATTTTGGTTCAGATAATACCATTTGTGTCTGGCTGTGTTCTGAAAATATGGTCCCTAGAACTGAAATGAGGATTTCAAGACTGGTCTAACCAGTACAGAATGGCAAAGGACCTTCCTCTGGCTGAAGTCACTTTTGGTGATGAAGGCTCAATTGCACTAGCTTATCTGATGGCCATTCTCACTCTGTTGAATTACGTTTTTTCACAGGTAAAATTAGAGCTACTGATCATACCTAGAAACCTTTCTTAATCTCTACACTTTAGTTTCCTCATCTATAAAATGGAAATAACAGTGCCTTCTTATAAGGTCGACATGAGAATTTCATGAGACATTCTACTTCTAGCACTTTGCAAAGTACCTGACACATGGCAGCTGCTCAATAAAGTGTCCTGCTGCTACTGTCACTGCTAAGACTGCTGCTACTGTTACCATCATCATCAGTGATCTAAGTTCACAAAAACTCTAAGTCACTCACACATTTTCTTTTGTTTTTTAACTACAGGACAGGAAATTTTCTTTTTTTTTTTTTTTTTTTTTTTTAGACAGAGTCTCACTTTGTTGCCCAGGCTAGAGTGAGTGCCATGGCCTCAGCCTAGCTCACAGCAACCTCAATCTCCTGGGCTCAAGCGATCCTGCTGGCTCAGCCCCCTGAGTAGCTGGGACTAACTACAGGCATGCGCCACCATGCCCGGCTAATTTTTTTTTTGTATATATATTTTTAGTTGGTTGGTTAATTTCTTTCTATTTTCAGTAGAGACAGGGTGTCACTCAGGCTGGTTTCGAACTCCTGACCTGGAGCGATCCGCCCACTTCGGCCTCCCAGAGTGCTAGGATTACAGGCTTGAGCCACTGAGCCTGGCCATAGGAAATTTTCGTTTTCAGTTTCATAAACCTTAACAAATATCCAGTACAGATAAAGTACTAGACTAGCCCCTATGGCTGTGTACAGTGGTTTATAGGGTGTGGTGATCATGTGCTCGAAGCCTTTATCCAAGGCATTCATAAGACAGAATCAAGGATCAAGGTTTTAAGCTACTGATGGAAGCCTCTTGCCTGTTTAGGTCAAGCCTGTAATCAACTCGTTTGACTGCAGTCACTGAACTCTTCTGAGTTTGTTCCCACCACTATGGCCTTTATCTTGTCTACAATGAGATTTTGAAAAGCCTTCACATGTGTAGATGCTTCCCAACCAGTGGGCCTGCTAAAGAGAGGGAAGCTTTGTGCACATCAGATTTACAGAGTAATAAATTTGAATGGTGTGAGGTGTTAAGAAACATTGTCAAGAAAATAGCTTTTCACACTGGTGCTGTGACTTCATTTCATACTCATTTTATGGTTTCTCTCTTAATTACCCAAGGTGCTTGCTTCACACCATTGGGCTTATTAGTTTTCTCCAGAGTCAACCTCAAGTGTATTGATTTTAATTAGCACTTGTTTCAACTTTATCCTATGCATATTTTGGCAAAATGTGGCACCTTGCAGCATGGGAAAAGAGCAAGCTGCAAAATTCCTGGGGAGAGGCATGTGTAGAATGTCATCCAGAAGAAATGTACTTGTCATGTGTTCTCTTTTCAAAGAAGTCTTCTTTTAGTCTAAAAGAGTTGTAAGTGATAAAAAAAAAAGGGGGGGGGCTTATGGGGATAGTGACAGTTAAAGAACAGAAAGTTAAAGCATATGTTTAAAGTGTTTTAATATATGTATGTGTTATATTCCAGAAGTTCTTTCGTAAGCCATAGGGACAGCAAAACATAACAGAGTAGTCTTGTCCCTCCTGCTACTTCTCCTGTCCCTCCATCTGGATTTTTAGAAACACAGAAACCTGAGACTCAGAGGTTTTTCTTGCCCTGTCTAGACTGATATCACACAGAGTAGCAGAAGCAGAGAGAAACTAGAATCTAGATCTCCCTATTCTGATTGTCCTATGACCCTACAGCACTTAGGTGTATTTGAATTCAGGATCTCCATTGTAAGAAAGAGGTAGAAGAATCCAGATAAGTTATGAGCTAAACAAGCTTTGAGGATTGGCTTGAAAAGCTAACACCCTTTTTAACCTTGCTCCTTTGTCAAACAAACCATAGCTTACTTGGATCCCTCATCTTCTCACGGGGCCTTCTCTAATTACCCTTCTGAAGATTTTAACTCACCCTCCACCCTCACTCAGTGCTCCCTACCCTGTTTCTCTGTCTTACTTTTATCTACAGCACTCACTATCATTCAACATGCTATACCTTTTGCTTATTGACTAAAGACCTTCTGCTATTAGAATCTAGACTCTGTGGGGAAAGGAATTTTTTTTGCTTTTGTTCACTGCTCAATCTACCTGGCCTAGAATAATAATGTCTGACACATAGTAAGTATTCAAGAAATATTTGTTGAATAAATACAGGTACTGGATAAAGACTGTTGTGATACTGGCAGTGCATCACCCCACCTTTCCTCCTGTCAAGCACCTTCCAAACCTGTCTCATCCCCTCTTGTCTTTACTGGAGTCTGAGTGGCCATGACCTTCCAGTAGATGGGAGTGGAAACCTCCCTCCCAAGAAACACTTACTCTTCATTTTGCAGGACAGTTAATCCCTGTGTGGCTTAGACAAAGTAATTTCTCATTATAAGAAATTCCTAAAGTAAAATACCCTGTAGCTATGCTTCCCATTAATCACTGCATATTTGATAGTTTATTTGTAAACAGAGCTACTTATCATATGTCACCTGCTCCAAGAAGCAAAGGAATTTTGCTGTTGTTAGCTACCATCTTTTGCTCTAAAGTACCTTAATTTGCGTGTCCACTTTTTCCCCTGCCAAATCTGCCAGTGGGAAAAGCATTGTCAAGAATTTCCTCCCGAACCTCTTGTTGCGCTAGCATGTGTGCAGTCCATTAGCATACCAGTTCCATTTGTTGTTTGTTGAAGCTGGTTGAATCAGAGGACAAAGTTTGTGAGTTGGCTGCTCATTCTGTAATGGAATTGTTAAAATAAATAACATTAAGGGCGTGTGGGTAGTAAAAAACATATATAGTAATAAAGTGAAATAGGCTATAAAAATCTAGCAAACTTATAAAAATTGACTGAGCCATTCCCTAAAAATTTTTCAAAAAGTAAAAATAGTTGAAATAAACTTTCAAAAATATAAATATAAATTTGTGAAATATGTTGCTTTTCTCCTGGACTTCTCAGTTCATTGCCTTTCCAAGTTGGTTTGTACAAGCTATATGAGAGTACTAGAAATTCATAAGCCAGAGACCTCTGTAGCAATTGTTTCCTCTAATGTGTTTTATATATTCTTTGTAAAGGGTGATTAAGATTGAATTTTTTTCAGTACCTACTCAATTTCTCTGTTTGGGGGCCCATCTGTTTCCTTGTAGCCCAGGTCATTCACAATGATACCATTGTAAAAAAGTTGGTCTTTAGGGAGGAAGATGATTAGACACTTTGATATTCCCTCATGCTATTAAGAGCTAGGATACTTTCTTGTGCACACTTTGGTCAGGAAGTTTTATAAATCTCCCAATTATAGATATAATTGTATGGTTATTTTTCCTTCTAGTGATTTGCTTCCTTATGGGGAAGTTTTTTTAATTAGAAAACAAAGAGTATTTTGATTTTTCAAACGTTTGAAAGCTATGATGAGTAAAAGAAAATTCAACTTTGTCATCTCACCAACACTTACCTTCAAAAACTTTCTAATAGCACTTTGTTGACTTATTTCTGACTTACCTATCCACTTACTATTTCTCTCAAATTAATTCTTACAGGAAAGGTAAAAGCATGCTGTTAGCACGTTTGCCTAAATTTGCTATTATAGTTGGCATCAAATTTCTCCCTTTTTTCTTCTTGCAAAATAAGAAAGGAATAAGAATAAAAAGATTCAAGTTGTAGAAATCACCAATAAAGAAAAAAAATAGATGGTATATTTATGTACAGAATATATCCGTTTGAATCTAGGGCCTTTCTCATTTGTTTTATTGCTCAATGGTATGAAATAGTGAGCTGAGTTTGTGTGACTGAATTATTCTACATCTGTGTCCATAAAATGCTAATCTGGATTCTTCCAGCAGTGAGATCATTTTGTCCATGAATTTTGGAAAAGATTTAAATTGTAATTGTACCCTTTGCAGTCCTATTATTTTATTCCATTTAGGCTTTTCTTCTACTCTAAATTGCTGTAAAGTAATGAGACTGGTTTCTATAAGCCACCCCTGCTAGGCTGTCATTTTGTATCACACCTCATAAATGAAATGAGGGAAATATTGGAAAATGGTGAGACTTGACAACACCTTCTACTCAGTCTCAGTATTCCCCTCCTAGATGTACTTATGCAATATTGCTAATTCAGACTGGCAGAGGCTGGCTTTGATTCTCCCAGATATCGCAGTGAGGGTGAAGACCCTTTTAGAAAAGTACACATAGATTATTTTTAAAAATACTGTTATACATATGAAAGTACAATTACATATAAAAGTACGTAATTTTTTCTTGATAGAACACTTTATTACATTTCTTAATATATATATATATATAACTTGGTTTTCTTTCCTATTAGGTGAAATGAGGAATGATTTATATATCACTATAGAAAGGGGAGAATTTGAGAAAGGAGGAAAGAGCGTGGCCAGAAATGTGGAAGTTACAATGTTTATTGTAGACAGTAGTGGCCTGCCCTTAAAGGTACGTTAATACTGGATATTTTGTGGTAAAACAAGTCTTTATAAATAGTTGCTTCATCTTTAATGTGATCAGTTAATTTCTGATTTGCAATTTTTTCCTCTCTTATTTTTCTTCTCTACTCCTGTGTAGTTTTCTTTTTTCTTTTTAATTCACTGAACTGTCTCTCAGAAAAGAAAGAAGAAAAAGGAAAAGGCTTTCACATTTTAATTGATTACATCAACAATTTTCTTCTAGTAACTATTCTTTAAATGCAGTACTTTTTCATTTGTTTCCCTTTCATCTGTCATAGTTTTAGAGAAAAATGTTTTTTCATTGGCAACTGTTTTTTTGTTTTTTTTTTTTTTAATTGTCACATTTATTCCTGTGTATTTTCATTCTGACCAAAACAGGGCATGAAGACCAGAGTACTACTTACTAATTGCGGTGATAATAGCAGGTTCCTTTATGGAGGAAGTATTTTTTGTGAGCCCCTTCTTTGTAGAGAAGTAACAACTGCCTGTTCAAATAAGAGGGTTGGCCCTGGGGCTTAGTAAGTCACCACTGAGGCACAGAACAGGCCTTTGACTGCAGCAGGCTGGCGACTTTGCCACGTAGTTGAGCTCCAAATGGAGCGTGCAGTTGCCCATCTCCCACATGTTGCCCTGGCCCACCCTTGGCGCAGTAAACCCTGGGAGATCAGCGTCGGAATTAAACAGGCAGACATACCCTGCTGGGCAAGAGCAAGTAGAGAAACAGTGGCAAAGGACGGGGGAGGTAATTTCACATGAAGTGCTATGTGAGGAGCAGGCAGAGACAGCAAAGTGACTGCTCTGCCTCTTTCAAAAGAACCTTTCAATGCAGCTGTCTTTAACCAGCACGCTTCCTTTGTTAGGATTTTATCTCCTTCGGCTCTGGAGAGCCACCTGCTAGTGAGTACCACTCCTTTGTGCTTTACCACAACAACAGTCCCCGGTGGTCTGAACTGCTGAAACTTCCTATTCCCGTGGATAAATTCCGGGGCGCACACATCCGCTTCGAGTTTCGGCATTGTTCCAGTAAGTGTTTGCTGGCGTTGGCTACATGTCTTTTGTTGTGTTGGGATAATCAGCTTACTAAGGTGTGATGACAATATGAGCTGATCTGCAGAAAGTGTGTGACAAATGAGACGTCCAGGTGAGAGAAGCGAAGGTAAGGGGGTCCCAAGAGAAAAGTGGACTCATTTCTTTAAGAGCCAATAATCTCTATAGAAACATAGAGGAAGGAGAAAACTAAATAGACAGGAAATTTAGATTTTCCTTAAATTGATTACTTTCATAAAAATCAGTTTGTCACTTACAGAAAGGGGAGACACAGCATTAAAAACTGAGCTGGTTCTGGTGGTCTCAGGCAACACTAACCAGTATGATATCTCTAGGAGCTGATCAGACAGATCAGGGCTTTTCTGGAATGTGAAGCCATTAGAAAAGCCTTTGGTAGGCTCAGATTTATATCATGTATCTACATCACTGCACAGACTCAGACAGTATTCGAATGAGGATTGAATAATGTCAACCAGAAAAGGATTTAGAGATATGAAGTAATTGCCTCATTTTACAGATTTATACAACACAAGGCATAGAAATGATATAGGATTTGTCTGTGTGGACATTGCCATCTATGAAGCTGTGATTTCTTGATGTGTCTATCTTAATTCTTTTGTACTCATTACCACCCTCTGAAGCCCCCACTCCCTTCCCCTACCAACCCTCAGCCCAGGGATCTTCTGCTAGTCCCTGTGTCACTGTGTCTGAGACATGCCTCACAGTGCACATTGTGTCTGGTGAATCTTGCTTTGGGAGCAGGACATCAAGTGAGAGCTCCAAGAGAATCACATTATCGGAGAAGCAGCAGGCTCCTCTGTGGTCTGGAAGGAATGATGCTTTGCCAAGAGATATATGGCGACTTCACCTGCGTGATGTTGTAATTCACCCAAGGTTCAAGCGGAGGAGGACTTTTTCATTACTGGAACTATGGCATATTTCAGGTTTGGCTCAGGGAGCTCCATAAATTATGCTTTTGTGGATGTTTCAGAATGCAGGAAGATGGCTAGCGGAGCCTTATGATTCTTCCACATTCCCAGAAGAGTTTCATGTGAAGGACGTGAAGTAGGAAAACATAAAGAACTTGGAATGGGGCCACACTATTCCTTCCACCAATCCTTGTTATAAATTCTCACTTGGGCCTAGTATGGGCTTTGAGCTTTAAGATAAGAAAAAGAAGGAGGAGGACAAAGGTGAAACAGTGGAGAAAGGGAGAATGCATTTCAAGAAAATTATTATAATTCAGCACTTGGAAAGCAGAATAAAGGCTATTTTCAATAAAATCTATTAGAACTCTGCCTCTCATCCTTGTACTTCAAACACTGTTCACAGGTTTGGAAGGTTTTTTTTTAATGTTCATTACTAAAATTTAGAAGAAACAACAAAGTATAAAGAAGAAAAATATCCCCATAATACCACAAACTACAAATAACCATTGTAATCATTTTACCACATGGGCTTCCTAATATTTGTGTATATATATTAATTCAAAAATATTATTCATGAAGCAAATATTTATTCAATATTCACTATGCGCCAAGCACTTTATTGGGTACTAGAGATAGATTTGCAAGCACAACAAAATAGCTCCTCTCGCAGAGCTTTCATTCCAGAGAGGGAAGACAGACAACCAATGAGCAAATAAATACATAATATATCAGGTAGTGAGTGAGTGGTAAGTGTGGTGAAGAAGACTTAAACTGGGGTTAGGGGATAGAAAGTGATGATAATGTGTTGCTCTTCTACACAGGGCAGTTAAGAAAGACCTTCCTGATGAGACTAAAGAAGTGAAGGCCTGAGCCACCGGGGTATCTGGGGAGAGAATATTTCAGGCAGAGAAAAGTACGAAGGACATGAGGTTGAAACATGCTTGGCATTTTCAAGGAATAGCAAGCACGCCAGAAAGGTAGCAGGGGAGGCAGATCTCATATTGTCTTTGGCATCACGGTGAGGACTATGGATTTTATTTGGCATGAGGAGAGCCTTTAGAGGATTTGAGCTGAAGATAAATCTGGCTGCTGTATGGATAATAGATTGCAGGTAGGCCAGTTGGAAACTGTAAGACCATTGGGAGGTTTTTTAGTCCTCCAAATGAGAGATTAAAGCGGTCTGCTTTAGAATGGTAGAGGCTCAATTCTTTTTTTTTTTTAATAGAATATAGACAGATTAGAAGTGAATGAACGAGAAAAGTAAAGGATGACCCAAACATTTAGGCCTGAGAGGGAAGTGGTCATCTAATAAATCAAGAAAGACAATAGGAAGAATCTGTTTAGGGAGTAAATATCAAACATTCCATTTTAGATGCATTAAATTTGAGATGTTTATTAGGCAAGATATCAAATATGTAAGTGAATGAGGTCCAGGTTCGACACTTAAACTTGAGAATGAGAAGGTATAGTTCAATAGTTGGTCTGCTGTAAATATTTAATAACCAGCACTTGGATAGGGGTAGCCCTGAACTGTAGCATATGCTGATATCCATAGTGTAAATACTCCCACCATGGCCAATGTCAAGCTACCACCACAACATCACTGAATGTGGAGTTGGGGAAAGATGTGCCTTCTAAGTTCTATGAACCCATATGATCCAGCTTCAGTGCATCACTAATTTTAATGGTTTTTAAAGCCTGAGACTGGATGAGATTCCTAGATAGTAAATTTTGATAGCAAAGGGAAGTCTGAGGTTGGATTTCTAGAGCATCACCACATTTAGAGCTGGAATAAGGAGAAGGAGCCATTAAGGGACAATAAGAAGGAAGAGCCAGTAGACTGAAGGATAGTCAAGGAAGAACAGAATCCAACGGGCTAAATGAAGACAGTTTTTCAAGAGAGGATTGATTGGATGTGTCAGGTGCCAGAGATAAATCAAATAGATGAAGACAGAGAAATTATCATTTGGTTTGTTGTCATGGAAGCCACTGGATCTGACAAGTGGTTTTAGTGAATTTGTGGTGATGAACATGAGTATATGAGTGAGATGGAGGAAAGGAAGGTGCAGCAGTGAGTAGAGACAAATCTTTGGGGAAGTTTTGCTATAGAGAATACAAGAGTTGTGTTGATGCATAGGAAGACTCAATATTGTCAAGATGTCAATTCTTAACTGGATGTATAGATCCAATGTGATCCTAATCAAAATCCCAACAAGGGATTTTTTGAAATATCAAAAAACTGATCCTAAAGTTCATATGGAAAAGCAGAAGACCCAGAATAGAGAACACAATATTGAAGGAGAAGAACAAAGTTGGCGATCTAACATTATTTAACTTCAAGAGTTACTATAAAGCTACCGTAATGGAGATAGCATGGTCTTGGGAAATAACAAATAGATCCATGGAACAGAATAGAGAGACCAGAAATAAACCCACTTAAATATAGTCAGTCAACTGATCTTTGACAAAGGAGCGAAGACAATATGATGGAGGAAGATAGGCTTTTAAACAAATGGTGCTGGAATAACTGGACATTAATTTGCCAAAAAATGAAGCTAGAAATGGACCTTACATTCTTCACAAAAATGAACTCAAATGGATCATGGAAGTAAATGTAAAATGCAAAACTATAAAGCCCCTAGAAGATAACATAGGAGAAAATTTTGATCACTTTGGATTTGGCAATACAACACCAAAGGCATGATTCATCAAAGAAAGAATTGATAAACTGACTATATTAAAATTAAAAATTTTCTGGTCTGTGAAAAGCACTGTCAAAAGAATGAAAAGATAAAAAGCCACAGATTGGGTAAAAAAAATATTTACAGAAGACATATCTGATAAAGAACTGTTATGTAAAATATACAAACAACTAAAAATCCAATAACAAGAAAATGAACAACTTGATTAAAATATGGGCCAAAGACCTTAACAGATACTGCACCCAAGAAGATATACAGATGTCAAAAAAGCTTATGAAGAGATGCTTCCTATCACTTATCACACGTTGTCAGGGAAAACAAGAACAGGATAGTGCCACACACCTATTAGAATGGCCCAAATCCAGAACACTGACAGCACCAAATGCTGACAAAAATGAGCAGCAACAGGAACTCTCATTCACTGCTGGTGGGAATGCAAAATACTACAGCCACTTTGGAAGACAGTGTGGTGATTGCTTATAAAACTAAGCATGCTCTAACCATATGATTCAGTAATCATGCTCCTTGGTATTTAACCAAAGGAGTTGAAAACTTATGTCTACACAAAAACCTGCACATGGATGTTTATAGCAGCTTTATAATAATTGCCAAAACTTGGAAACAGCCAAGATGCCCTTCAGTAGATGAATGGAAAATTAAACTGTAGTATAACCAGACAATGGGATATTACTCAGCACTAAAAAGAAGTGAGTAATCAAACCATGAAAAGATATGGGGGAACCTTCAATGCATATTACATAGTGAAAGAAGCCAATGTGAAAAGGCTACATACTATATGATTTCAAGTATATGACATTCTGGAAAAGTCAAAGCTACAGAGACAGTAAAAAGATCAGTGGTTGACATAGTACACAGAGGATTTTTAGGGTAGTGAGACTATTCTGTGTGAAACTATGCCTATTAGATGCCTATTATTGTACATTGGTCCAAACCCACAGAATGCACAACACCAAGAGTAAACCTTAATGTAAACTATGGTCTTTGGGGGGTCATGATGTGTCAATGTAGTTTCATCAGTTGTAACAAATGTACCACTCTAGTGGGGGATATTAATTATGGGAGAAGTTCCACATAGGGGGTCCGGTAGGGGTTATATGGAAAATCTCTGTACTTTCCTCTCAATTTTGCTGTGAACCTAAAACTGCTCTAAAAAGTAAAGGGTATTTAACAATAGAAGAAACATATAGGAGAGCTGAGAAATGGGATAGTAGCCATGGTAGGACATTGGGTGATGTGAGATTTTTTAATATATACAATGGAGCTTTTGAAGCGTGTTTATTTGGTGGAAGTGATTCAGAGGAGAGGAAAGACCATGATGTAGAGGAGAGAAGGGACAACTCTAGAGCAATGTCCTTGGGGGAAAAGAGCATGGACTGCAGTACACAGGGAAGGAGTTGGCTTGAGGTAGGAATGTGGACAGTTCGGGACAGTTCCGGATACTGCAGGAGGACACTGATACAGGTGGGTTAAAAGGCGGGTGTGGGAGCATGTGGGATCTCTCTATACATCTTCTGAGAGTAATGAGGGTGCCAAGGTGTTGGAGGCTTGAGAAGGGAGGAGAACCAATGAAAGAATCATCTAGAAATGTGGGAGAGTGAGTTGATTAGGTAAATATAGAAAGATTGCCCATCTCAGGACCCCTTGGCAGTTAGTGTGCATTAGTTAAAGTGAAATCAGTCTAGTTTGGCATGGAATAAACTGCAAGTTGGATTTAAACAGGTTGGAGTGTTAAAATGGAAGTATGGAAGAGTCAGGGGGTTGAAGGCACTTGCAAGGAAGTGACTAGCATGAAATATCCATAGAAATGGGAAGTGAGAGGGAAGAGGGAAGAAAGTTGATGAATTGTAGGTTCCAGAAGGCAGAATTGTTAGAATAGGGTACTAGAATGAATTGGAAAGTTAGGAGGTAGAATCCATAAATTTAGAGCTTTTTGTTAGTAAAAGGGGATCAAACTATGCATACTGTATATAACAGTCCATCAGCATATTAATCCTGATCTAATAGTTCTGGACAAATGGTTATGTACTTTAAACTTTGGTATTTATTTTTATTTTATAACAGAAGGCAAATTTGGGAGAACTATTTCTTTGTTTATTATCTTAGCTAATTTTATTCATTCTGGAACTGTGTTCTTTTTGTCTTTCTGAATTGAACACCACAAACCACGTCAAAAAGATAAATAGTCAAAGAAACTTAGGAAATTATTTCTAAATAAGATCCAGCACTGTCATCATTATGAAAATCTCTTCCCAGACATCTTTTCTGGGATCTTTACTTAACGCAGACATCAGTATTTTCCCAGTTTCTCTCTGGGTTGAAACATCAAACAAACAAAACATCAGTATTTTCCCAGTTTCTCTCTGGGTTGAAATTAATGATTTTTAAAAGAAAGTCCTTTGCTATGATCACATTTTCAGGGATGTCCTCATGCTAGGGGCCAACACCAGCCAGCCAGAATTACCGAGTGAAGCTCCACTTCCCTGTGGTTAAATGCCAGGAGCAATTGTGAGGGAATGATGTGCTGCTAAACCTCTTGTCTGGTCTTCAGGGTCACCATATCTAATTCTTACAGCTCAGCTCTTACTGCATCCCAAAGCTGAACTTTTCTATTTAAGTGCAACACTCCACTACCACACTTGTGTGGGAAAGAATAGCTGTCCAGCTTAACAGGCTGCCGGTCCTGGAGCGCTGCTCCCTGCCCATCTAAGTATAAGGGGAGAGTCGAACAAACAAGGTTCTGTTAATGCCTTCTCCATTTTTGGAGAAAAGAAGCGTGGTGGGAAGAACTGGAATAGTACTTAAGAGATCTACAGCAAGTTACCTAACATCCAGGATCTCAATTTCCTTATCTATTAATAATGGCTAATGATCCGTGGCCTCTTTAGTCATTGTAATACTTAATTAGACATCTGAAAATCTCATTGCCTCATTTCCGGCTTCCAGTGTTAGTATAGTGAGCTCTTATTAAACTATAGTTTGCAATTCCTATTGTCTTTCAGTGGGCCTGATTGCAAAGAGGTAGCTTCCATGGGGCTCACTGTCCTCACATGTGTGGAATAGGGAAAGAAGTTACGTAAGGGGTCAAGGTAGAGCTTAGAGATTCCCCTTCCGTGGGTAATTAGCAAAACATTGCATTTCTCACTTATTCATGCACTCATTCATTGCCTTAATATATATTTCTTGAGAACCTACTATGTTTGTGGCACTCTTTGAGACAATAAAATAAAGCAGAGAAGAATCCTGCCCTCAGTGGCACTTGGAGTGAAGAGAAGAAACAGATAATCTACAATTTTTTCTTTTTTAATTTCAGGTAGTGAGTCCCATGAAGGAAATTAGGCAAGAAATGTAAGTTACAGGTTAGGGGGCAGGAATATGGGGTTAGAGAGTAGCTAGTTTGATAGATGACCTGTCATAAAAGCTAATTACCATTGTGTGGAGGGAGCTAGGGTATGGGGGTGACATTTCTTGATGCTCATGCTTCTTGACAAATATGTATCTGAACACAGATGTACAAGCATGCAATTGAATAGTGAGTAATTCCTCTTTTTTTTTTTTTTTTCTTTCACAGCAAAGGAGAAAGGAGAGAAGAAGTTGTTTGGTTTCTCTTTTGTGCCCCTGATGCAGGAAGATGGCAGGACTCTTCCGGATGGCACTCACGAGCTCATTGTGCACAAGGTAATGTCGGTCAGATGTCGGTGATGGGCAGGAAAACAGGGCTGAATTATTAACTCGCCATCTTATCACTTTGGAAAAGATCAAAAGAAAATGACTAAAAAGAACACTCTTTTGTATGGTCGTATGCAGGGAGAGTACCTTTTTGAAAATATTGTTTCTACATTCTATGTCATAGTCTAAAACATATTTTAGAGATGATTTATTTTTTCATCTTAATTTAGGGGTAGATTATTGGCTAATTCTGTGTGTTGCTCTTAAATCCTTTCTGTTGCTGTGATAGGATTACATAAACCTTACAGATAACTTTTTAAGTACTGCATGCAACACACGCTTTCTTATTTAGATCTCTGTATCCCCAGAGGTAAATTGAGCAAGGTCAGCATTACATTTTTTTTTCTGGTCTGCTATTCTTACTAAGCAAGCAGAGAAGTGGCTGCACTTTGTCATGATGACTTTAGCAGTTGCTCTTTTAAATCAGGAATCATCATAAAAACATTCGTAACACAGTATACTGTAGTAGGCAACACAAAGAAAATTCACAAAGCAAGAATCCCATAGAAATTCTCTGAGAATACTAGTACTAATGAAGTAGAGAATAAAAATATATTTTCAAGTGACATAGGCAGTTTGCTCCAGAATTTCCTTCTTTGCTGGAGAAAAAATATTTCTCCATTGCTGTAACTTTGCGATGGCCAGGCCCTTAAAACTCTCACCTATGCTAACTGGTCTTGCCAGCCTGGATCCAGGTTCCCCCCAGACTTGAGGGTCACCCAGCAGAGATGCAGATCCAACCAGGTCATTTCCCAGTTTAAGACTCATTCAAAAGCTCCCACTGCTGACAGAATAAATCCCAGGCTTCTCAGAATGTGCCAGGCTTCCACCTCCCTACCATTTGACTTCTCACCACTTCCTGCCTCTTACTCAGCGGTGCAACCACATCCAGCTCTTTTCTAGTTCCTGCCCCCTGCCCGATGGTTCAGTTTGCTGTGCTCTGCTTTGCCCTCGGGTCTCCTGGAGTCCTGCCTTCCCCTGCCTCTCCCTCAACTACCTTCTGCTCATCCCCTGCAACCTCAGGAACTGTCCCCTGTTCCCTGGCCCAACTCCCTATATGCCCAGCTGGCCAAGTGCCCTCTCCTGAGCTCCCTGGGCATCTGCACATGTCTCTCACCATTGTTCTTATCACACTGTGCCAGAATTATCTGATGATCCCTCGGCTTACCCCAGTGCACTTATGAGCCCCTCGAGAACAGCAGCTCTGTCAGAGGGATTCTGGCAGGAGGTAGATGTGCAGTGAAGGTTTATTGAATGAATGAATGAGATCACAAACAAAAACTTTCTTTCCCTTTGGATTACTGCTAATAAAATGAGTGGTAATATACAACACACCTGCTATTTTCTATTTTGATGCGATGTATATATAGGTGTCCATTTCTTTAATCATTCATTTTCTCATTATTTGTTCAACCCATGCATTGACCACAGACTGCAGCCAGGCACTGCTCTGGTACTAGGAAAATAGTGGCAAACAAAACAGTCAAATCTCTCCATTTCTGATGCTTACCTCTCTACTTCAGAAAATGGCCTAAAGGAGCTAACAATGTTGAAATACAAAGAAAAAACTATTTGAAAGAATAGTAACCAGTAAAGCAAACAGAGGAACTAAAAGTACTAGGAACTGGGGATGATCTATTTATCACACCCTTAGGTCTGAGTCTCCCTTATAAAAGACATATAATATGGCAGGCACTGTCTGCAGCTACAGTTTTCCAAAAAAGCATAAATGGTACTTCGTGTAGATGGCTACAGGACAATAAATCTTGACTCAGAAAAGGCAGGGCTGAGATAATTAAAACTGGGCTCCCGTTTCCTAACAATATATAGAAGAGTGAATCGTTTCTGTACAACATGTCACATGTAGACTCTCTCACCTGCGGGTCAGAGGGTGCTTCTTTGGCAAGTGCTAGGTTTCCCGTCAACTACTGGAAGACGCCTCCAAAAGAGTGAATAATAGCAGGATTCTCAGTTGCTGATTAAAGAGATCCATATGCTTAAAATGCCAGAGGCTAGATAGCAGCGCTCCCTTCTCCGTGTGAGCATTTAGAAGTCCAGCTGGTATTGATTCCCCAACAGAGGCCTGTCCTTGTGCCCTGGCCAAAATTCTTCTCAAAAACAGGACTTTGAATCAGTTGAAACCCTTATACAAAGTTTGACTTAGTACCCAGAATTCTAATCCATGAAGAAAAATTTATTGGAGCTTGAAAACTTTGTCCTCAACCAAAAGGGAGGCTCAGTATGGTGTGTGTAGGTTGTCTAATTTGGGGCAGATCTACATTGTACAGACCCATCAGGAAGCATTAGCTCTTCAGAAAAGCCCCCCAGTATCTGTGTTTTCTTATGAATAGAGTTATTTAGTGTTGCTTATTTAAGAGTTGTGAACTACTTGCCAAGTATAACAACTTTAATTTTAGTCTGGTTGATGCTGTGGTTTTCTTTCTCATTCTACTGGGCCAAGAAGTTCAGTTTCAGCTTAAAGCCACTTGTAGTTTATGATTATAAAACCATATTTCCAGCATAATGCACATCCTCCTTCTGCCATGGCAGGAAGGCACGCAGCCTGCTGACAATTGCATACTTGAACTTATTATTTAAAAAGAAAGAAAGAAAGATGGGGAGAGAAGTGGATTTCAAATCACTGGCTAAAAATCCAGCCCCTTTAATAAGTGGTGTTGAGAGGACTGGGATGGGTAGTGGGGTTTGGGGAGGACTGGATTCCTACCTGCCTTCTTTTACTAAAACACACTCCAGACTGAATGTAAGAGAGAAAATTGCTGTCAGAGCCTTAAAAATGTGGGTGAACGTTTTTATAATCTGCAGGTGAGGAGGGATTTTCTAAGGATGTCTTAAATGTTAGAAATCAAATATAAAGAATTTATAAATTAGGCTACATAAAATTTAAAACTTTTTTATTAATAAAATAATCATAATCTAGGCTGAAAATATGCCAAACTGAAATATGGTTGCAACATAACTTATAAAGGTTACTTATTCTCCATTTACCAAGAATTATCACAAATCAGTAGGAAAAGAGAAATTGATAAATACTACAAATCAGCTATTTAAAAATAATAAATGCAAATTTGTGGAATAAATACATGAATAAATAAAGATATGTAAATTAAAGAATGGGAAACGCTTTGGGAGTCTAAGATGGGAGAATTGCTCGAGGCCAGGAGTTTGAGATCAGCCTGAGTAAAGAGCCATACACTGTCTCTACAGAAAATAGAAAAATTAGCCAAGCATGGTGGTTGTATGCCTGTAGTTCCAGCTACTCGGGAGGCTGAGGCAGGAGGATCACGTGGGCTCAGGAATTTGAGGTTGCAGTGAGCTATGATAAGGCCATTGTCTTCTAGCCCAGGTGACACAGTGAGACCCTATCTCAAAAAAAAAAAAAAAAAAAGATGAGAAAACTTTTTTGCCTATCAAATTGGTAAAGATTTTTAAAGCCCAGGATGGGAGAGTAAGGTTAAGAGGAAATGAACGGTCTCTTGCATTTATAGAAGAAATGTGAATGTTAGTGTGTTTTGAAGAGCAGTTCAGCAGTACATAGATAAGCTTTAAGTGTGTATATCCTTTGACTCAGCCCACACATCTTGGTGTTTACTAGGAGAAGATAATCAGACAAGAGGAGCAAAGATGATTCAAGGATGATCATTGCAGATTCCTTAAAATATGGAAAACATAGAAGTGGTTATTGCCAGTAACATAGGACTGATTAAATGAGTTATACCCATACAGTGAATGAAATACTATATATTTATTGAAATGATGTTTAAAGGATAATTTTATATACATAGAAAATGCTTATGATATATTGATAATACTTTACAGAAGTATATATTTAGTATAATGCTATTTTTATAAAATTGTTTAACTACATGTCCTTATGTATATATGTGCATGGAGAGATGCTTGGAAAGTGATCCTAAAATATAAGCAATGACTATTTTTATTTTCACATTGCTTAACTTTTTTGTTAGTGGACAAGTATTATATAACATTAATAATCCTTTTTCATTTTGAAAAAACAAAAGTGGAAAGAGACAAAAGTTAGGATTAGCCTTGTTTTATATTATTTAATTCTGGACTTTTATCTAACTAAGGACCTCTCGTCTGTCATGTAATCATGACAGTCATGTTTATGGTAAGGTTTTGAAGAAACATTAATTGTCTGAGATCTTTGTAAACCACATTCATGTCATTCATTGACAAGTGCTATCTGTGATATCAAAAGTTGATGAGAGTTGAAAAAAATGCTCTAAAAATGTGTCTTCAATTCTGTCCTGAGGATATACAGAGAAGAGCTATGGTTTGTAGTATTTAGGGTTAAAACCTACTTGCTCCTCATGTAAGGTATTAGTTTAAAAGACTTGATCCTGCAGTGAGCTACGAAGAAATCCACTGTGTTGAAGTATATTCAGTAACCTAATTTGGGCCTAAAATTTGTGAAAGAGACAGTTTCCCTCGTAGTGATGGCTGAACTCCACTTCTGGGCATGTTCTAAGGAAACTGTTCTTACAGAGGTGTTACAGTAAATACTCTGTCAAGGACCTGGACTCATCCTTTAGGGCAGGGCCTAATGAATCCTAAGGGCAAGGACTTCTTTTAAGGACATTTTCAACTTTACTTGATTGATTACCTGTTTGGAGTGGTTTCCAATGAAAATAAGCTCAGAAATCTACAAAAATCTGAATGTCACAGCTTTAGAAGGGTAAGTGAAATAGCTTAATTAGTCATCGTTAGAGATTTTGTCCTTCTAGAGCCCCTCCGACAGCTCCCAGAACATCATTAATATCCCCAAATGCCTGATGGGTAAGTTTAAAACTTCCCTTAGGAATTGCTAATTTGCTAATAATAACATTTAATCTTAAGTTTTGTTATTTCACTGCATTCTGTTAGAATTGTTGTCTTCCTTAACTTTGTAAGGGTATTTTTGGCTACCG